ATGAGGCAGTCTCTGGGTTTTCTACGCATTCACCCAACCTCCCTACTAGGTTTCTGAGTCTCACAGGAACCTCCAGCTTTATGGGAGGATGTGACAGAGACTCCAAAAGCCACCAGCAACTATAATAGCTTGCCGGGTTTACCTAATGTGAATTAAGCATTACCAGTACCTCTGGCTCTGTCAGAGCTGGTGTTATTTATTCTTTACTTCTAACCTCTAGAACAGAGCTCAGTACATAGTAAACACCAATGTCAGCTGGGTTAACAAATGTATTTGACATTGCAATACAATGAGAACCTGGACCTGGAACTCCTTCCCGCTGGTCCTTCCCTCCACCACTCGCTGCACACTGACTCACTCCTGGAGGCTGGGGAGGGCCAGATAAGGAATGCGTGGGCAAGGATTTTATGAACCCAACAACAGGAGAGGCTAGGTCTAATCAGCCATCCTTGGCTGCACTTTCAGAGACGTGGGTCACCTGGCATGGCCTTGGGCTGAAAATGGTAATGGCAGAGCAGGGAGAGTGTTCACTTCAAGCTGCCTCCAGCCCTCAGCAGAATTTCCAGTTCTACCTGCTAGGCTCCTCCCTCCCCCACCTCCCCTTTCCACTCCCCTTCCGTGCCCTTCTCCCCCAGACAAGGGCTCACTCCAGGAGCTGGCATCAAACTTCCTGCCAGCCAGCTGCTTCCTCCAGTCCCACCCCCAGGTTGTGAAACAAACAACACCAGGCGGACTTGGGACAGAAACTCTGCTTATCAGGGAGTCACAGGCAGATGAACTCTGAGTTTTCAATGCCTGGAAACCAACACCCCCTCCCCACCCCCCCACATCCACTAACTCTGCTTCCCACATTCCCCTCACAAGGCCAAAGCCTCTCCCACAATTCCATCTGAGTGGCCATCAGTCCTTCCTGAAAAGGAAGCTGGTCTAAGTTTAGAGAGTCCCACAGTCTCTCGTTAGTGCTGGCAGGTGTAAAACCCAAGTTCCATGATTTCCTATTCCACCACTGTGTGAAGCTTTTAAATCTATCTTAATAATAACAATAATAAATAAGTGTCAGCCATTTCTGTGTCCACAGAAAAGGCTCTTGATGCCCTTAACCAGATGGGAGTTGGGGGGAGGCAGGGGCGGGGAAGAGGTTGGGAAAATCCTAAGGCTGAAGGCCATCATACCAACATGACAAGATTTATAGGGTGTAGTAAGTGAAATAAACAAGATGCAGGATAATGTACAAGATGTACAAGAGCATGTATAAAAAAAAAGGGGGGAAGTAGAAGCAAACACTTATTTATATACGCTTGTATTTAACACTGGACAGATATTTAAGAAACTATGGGGAAGAAAGGAGTGAAGATTACAAGATAGGAGACCCCATTTCTATTTTTTTTTCTTTTTCTTTTTTTTTAAAGATTTATTTATTTGTGCATACAGAACTGGGGTACAGGCCAGAGGCTCAGGGGCGGTGAGAGGCTTCACCAGAGACAGAGCAGGGAACAGAACAGGCAGATCTATGAAGTACACTGCTGAGGGGAGCAGCGGGCGGGCCAGGAGAGGTCTGCCGCGCCAGACCAGTCCCTGTTATAAAGAGAAGCATGCAGTGTAAGTGTTCGGAATGGAGAGGAAAAGACTAAGGTGCCAGAATTCCACTACCACTTATTTCCTGGTCGCAGCAGTTGTCAGTCACTGGTTTCTAGATTCGGAAACAACTCCTTCCTGGAAAGGGGAAGGAAGAGCAGGAGGGAGAAGTGAGATTCAAAAGCTACAGTTTTGAGTAAGGCTAGCCCTGATCAGCAAAGTTAAAGAGCTTGCGCACGATACAGCAGGACCCAGCAGGACCGGGGGGCTGCCAGACTGGGCAACATTCTCCTTCCCGGATCACCAGGATGAAGGCAGGATGCTCCAGACAGAGAGGGAGCGCAGGTTCCTCCTTCTCTCTGTGGTTACACCAAAGTCAAAAATTTGCTAAGGAGAGGCTCTCTGCAGAGGGGGAGGGGAAATGGCATTTTCTATCACCAGTTTAGGGTCCCCAAGCACAGTTGTCCCAGGGTTCAGTCTCCCATCTTTGTCCCAGTAGGCTCAGACCATCCCCCACTAGATTCCCAGACTGGAACTGGGTCTTTACTTGCCCTTTCTTCTTCCTCCCTGATGGCAGCATCCACAGTGGCACCCAGGAGGGGAGAAGGGAAACACTCAGGCATCTTATACATGCTTCTGACATCCCAGAAGCAGAGGACAGATTAGATGCCCACAAAAGATACCCTACATTTTCTACTCCTGCCATTTGGATTCCACTCCCTGCTTCCTTTGACCTACTCAACTAGGGACAGCATTATTTCATCCTAACAAAACCCAAAGGGGGTAATAGCTGCCCAATAATAATCCCTTCATGTCTATGTAATGTAGCTATTATCCAGGTTGATCCGCCGGACAAGGTTAGGACAAATATCCTTACTCCTGTTTTACAGATGAAAAGACTAAGACACAATAAAGCAGAGTCAAGCTGGAACCCAGGTGGAGTGGCCAGGTTCTTACTGTCATCCTCATTTCATAATCAAATCACTTCCCCCACCCCAAGTCTAGGCCAATTTAAATGTAACAAGGTCAGGTTCTCCACGCACTGCACATACTTCCCAAGATGCATTGTCCCGTCAAGTTAACACTGTAGCACCTTAGGGTCCTCCAGAGCCTCTGCTTGGGTTCCTGACGTCAACGCCATCCCCATGCTCAATAAAGCACAATGAATACTTTCAGTGCTAATGGTAAGTCTTGTGTAATTTTCACAAACAATATAGAAAAGTAGGGAGAGAGAGAAAACGAAAGGAGAGAAGGTCACAGATTCTGGAAAGCTTATAATCCTGACAAATATGGTCACAAATCCAGCGACTGACTTAGAAAAAGTCAAGGAAAGGGGGGGAGGAGGAGGCATGTATTAGAACATAGAACAGTAGTATATTGTTGGCAGAGTCTTTACTATTAGCCACAAAACAGAACCAAAAAATGACTATAAGTGTTAGTAGCAGCTCTACGATTCAGTCAGAAGTAAATAGGTGGGAGTGGGGAAATAATAGAAATTGGAGGAAAAAAAGAGACGAGCAGAATGAAAGGAAGAGGTGAAAGAAAAGATTAACCTGAAAAGTAATTAAGATAGCAGAATTGGGGCCCTCCCTGGTGGTGCAATGGGTTAAAGCACAGCATTCTGAAGCTATCAAAGCCACTACAGCATTGAGTTCCATCCTGGCCAGGGAGGTGCCCCACATGATATGACAGACCTCTCCTGACTGGCCGGCTGTTCCCCTCCACAGTATATTTCAGCCAGTCCTCCTGTTCTGCTCCCCACTCTGTCTCTGGTGAATCCTCTCACCCCCACACCTCTGGCCTGTACCCCAGTTCTGTATAAATAAATAAATCTTTAAAAAAAAAAGATAACAGAATTGGGTGTGGGGGAGCACCTCCCTGGTAGCCTACGGACCAAGTCTCAGCACTATCACTTCTGCAGCCTGAGTTTGATCCCTGGCCAAGGAAGTGACCCACATTGCATAGAAGACCTCTCCTGTTATTACCCCCAGTTCCCCTCAACAATGTATTTCAGTAGAACCTCCTGTTCTTTTCCCCACCTTCTGGTGAATCCTCTCATCCCCCTGTACCTCTAACCTACACCCCAGCTCTTCTATGCATAAATAAATTAATTAATTTTAAAAAGATAGCCAACTCTGGAACAGTAGCCCTAGCTGATGTCCCACCATCATGGAGAGTGGGTTTCTGCACCCAGGAATGGAAGAAGGGGGTTAAGAAACTCCACTCTCAGGTTCGTCAATCTGGAAAAGTCACTTCCCTTCTTTGGACTGACTTCCTTATCTGTACAACAGAATGAAAACTGGAAGTGCCGTTGGTCCAACCCATCCCTAGGGTTTATGTTTTTGTGATAAGAGCAAAAATGAAAGGTCAGTGCACCTGTGTAAGGCCAGGGAATCTGTTTCCACCCTTAAAAATCAAGCAAAATAAATCACTTTATGACCACCAATAATTAGTTGTGAGCATTCATTTCTTTTACACGTCTTAAAACATGAACCTCAAATAGAAAACAGACTCCTACAGAACACTGACAGTTATCCACACAAGCACGCACACAGACATTCAGGGATCAGACAGACACACTTAGAGGTGCTGACACAGGTTGACTAAGGCACAAACATATCCATAGACAGCGGCAAGCCCCAGCAAGTGAGCCTCATTGTTCCACAGGAAAGGGAGTTTACAAAGGAAACAAAAACTCTAGGCTGCCAGGGGGAGGGCAGAGTTAGGACTCTGAGGAGGATCCAGCCAACCAACAGCCTGGTCAGCCCTGGGGAATGGCCGCACAGTCAACAACATTTGTTATGGACTCTTGGGATAGTTCTCCCAGAGAAACTTTGAATGATGTGCTCTAAGCCACTTCAGATTTCCTCTTCAAACTTTGCACCGACTTGCCCCAAAGCAACCACCACCCAAAGATCTAGAAGGGCTAAAGAGACAGCTCAACAACAGCCAGGAAATGAGACTTCCGCCCAACCACCTCCATTAGGTTTTCTCTTTAAACCCTTCGGGAACAGGACAGTCAGGGGCCAAGGGAATCGTGGTGTGAGAGGGTCCCGGCTTTTCCGGGGTTGTTGCATGAGCGAGTGCAGGGTGGCCCTCCCCAGGTGCGTGTGGAAGGGGATCGCTGGGTGGAAGCACGTGCCCCCAGCCCTCCCCGTTATTTGAGGGGAGTGTGCGGAGGGGGTGTCTCCCTCGGGGTGGGTGTACGGAATGCGGTCACAGTTCATCGGTGTGGGGGAGGGGAGCCACCCCCAGCCCTGGCAGAAAGGGAGTCGGCCGAAGAGGACCCCGGCCAGGTTTAAAAGAGACCCGAAGAAAGCCGGCAGGTTTCGGAACTCCTCCCCTCCCGCGGGAAAGGGCGTGGGGAGCACTCTCTTCCACCTAATGACCGACCCACCGACTTCTGCCGAACTCGGGTAACTTACGCAGGATCACCAACGTGAAGAGCAGCCACGGCGTCCTCCCTGCTCTCGTCTCAGACCCCATAGCGATCAGCACCACGAAGAAAAGCGCCTCGGAGCCCGGGACACACGCGCTTCGCCCAAAGTAGCGCCCGATCTGAGCTCCACCGCCAGGTGGGGCCCGCCCAGCCCCGCCCTCTCGCCCCATAGGTCGGAGCCCCTCCCCTGTGCGACCCGATTGGTGGAGGGATACGCCGCTCCGCCGAGTGACTCACCGCTGCCAGGTGCGACGCGACCCGCGACTCCTTATGGTGACAAATGGGCGCCCTCCTAGCCCTAGCCGAGTCTGATTGGCTCAGGGGACTGTCGGTCAGGAGGTGACCGCGCACCTTCGGCAGGTGAGGACGCTGGGTTGGGCGGTGTTCCTGCACTGAGGATTCCGACTGGCGGAGCTCTGAACTGGGCTGGAGAAGCGTGGAAGACTTCACAGCAGGAGCTGGGGAAGTCTGGCGTGCCTAGCTTTGATGTTGGAGTGTAAATTGTTGGGGACCACAGAAACCTTGGTCCGACCTTTGATAAGTGAAAAGCGCACACTATGTGGAAAGGCAGAGGGCGGGGAAAACGCTCTGAGCCGTGTTCCTTTGTCAGCCCCGCAGCATTCACGGGCTTGTAGTTGGGTTGCCCAGACAGAAGGAAAAGGAAAGAAGGAACTCAAAGGGAGAAGAAAGAATTCACCTCAAGTGGGCAAAGCAGAATTTCATTATCTCAAGAACTGTAAACATGCGTCTACCAAACACACCCATATCATAGAAACCGTGACGACCGATACTCTGTAAATATCACTGACTGGGTGTTCTGAACAAATGTTTGTTCTGTCCTCCAAGCCTACCTTTCAGAATTATCAATACTACCTTCTCACTGTGATAGTTGCGTGGTGACTAAGCCCGGTTTCTTTCGACTGTATCTACAGTCAATCTTCTGTCAACATTTATGTTATTACATTATTTTTTATTGAAGTAACACTGGTTTACAACATTGTTTCTGTTACATCAGTGTTTAACTGAAACACATGCTCTACTGTTTCTAGTGTCTGTTTTCCAGTGATTTAATTTTAACTGACTTAAGGTTGCTTGTAGGAAAAATTTTCTGAACATTAACTTATTAAAAGTAAAAATTCTACTTTTTTCCCCAAAACCAAGGTATTCTTTGACTTACTACTTTCAACTTTGTGCTTATTCCTTTGTCGTTGCTCTTGGGTCAAATGTCCACATCTGGTTTCACCCAACTTAAAGCAAAGTTTCTCAAAGTTTATCCCACCTTATGGGAGTTGCAGGGGAATATAAATAAACATAAACAATAATCCCTGGTTTCATATGGTTTACAGTCTGCTTCCAAGACTAATACAGGAAACAAGACAATATCTAACCAGTAAGAAACTTCATATTACTTTAGTATCACTATACTATACTGCTGTGCAAAGCTCTGCTCTTTACCCTCAAAGGAATTTAAAGTGTTGAAGAGAGAAGTATATGCCAAGTTATGTAGCAGAGTAGAGAGCAACGGCGGGAACTAAGCCTGTGGGCTGTGATTGTCAAGGGAAACTTTAAAAATAGGGAGCTTTAGGAAGAATTTTTTTTAATGCTTTCTATTTTTTATTTATTTTATTTATTTTTTATTTTTTATAGCAGTTTATTTTTACATAATTTTGTACAGCTTTAGGAAGAATTTTAAGGAACTCTAAGACCCTGAAATAGAAGGATCATCACGGAGGTCATTTGGGTCTGCCTCTTACACTTCACAGGAAGGTCCATACAGCTATAGAGAATGTGTAGATCCTTTGCTTAAATGCTTCTAAAAATTCTAAAGGCAGACTATTCCCCTTTTTGCACAATTCTCTCTTTTTTTGCATATTTTTGTAAAGATTTATTTATGCATATAAGAACTGGGGTATAGATCAGAGGTGTGTGGGTGAGAGGATTCAGCAGAGACAGAGTAGGGAGTAGAACACACACGTTGACTGAAATACACTGCTTAAGAGAGCAATAGGCGAGACAGGAGAGGTCTGGGGCACCTCCCTGGCAGGAGATGGAACTCATGCTGCAGTGGCTGTGGATAGCTTCATAGTGTGCTTTAACCCTTTGCACCACCAGGGGGGCGCCCCCTTACAATTCTTTTTTTTTCCCCCTTACAATTCTTAACTGTTAAAATTCCTTTTAATAAAAGTTCCTTTTAACTTCTAGCACAAAATGCCTTGTTACTCTTTGCAAACGGCTGGCATTCCTTCAAGTATTTTAAGATACTTTAGATGTATTTTCTAAGTCTTCTCCAAGCTAAACATCTTTATATCCTTCAAATAGTCTTCATAGGGCAGCATTTCATAAGCCCACGGCTCCATTCCCAATGAGTCTCCTTTGGATAATTCTTTGTTGGCTGTTGTACCAAGAACTAAACCAGGCGCTAGAGAAATCATCTTTCTACAGATCTCAGTTCGTTCAAAACCATTTCCCCAATTTTTTTCTGTCTTTAGTAAGTTCATGTCTCTCTAAAACTTTCTGCATCCAGAAGGTAGTTATGATAGTAGTAATATCACTTACCTTGTGGCAAAATAAGGATTAAATAACATAATGCATGTACTATTGATACTGTAATTTCAGGTTTTCAGGTCTAGTCTCCCGGCCAGGAACGGATCCCAGGCTGTGGTGGCAGCGCTGAGTCCCGGCCACTAGACCAGCACACTAGCCCCAGCAAAAACCTCACTGACCTCAGATACAAGTGAAAAGAGGCAAATTTGTTTAGAGAAATAGATATAAGTAAAGTTAACTGCCCCCCCCCCAGTGGCACAGGGATTAAGTTTTAGTGCTATCAAGCTATCACCAGCCACTGTGGCATGAGTTAGATCCTGGCCAGGAGCTAATCCACATGGCAAAGCAGACCTCTCCTGTCCCGCCCGCTGCTCCCCTCAGCAGTGTATTTCAATAGATCCACCTGTTCTGCTCCCCACTCTGTCCCCTCTCAACCTCCACATCTCTGGCCTACACCTCAGTTCTTGTATGCATAAATTACAAAATAAATATTTTTTTTAAAAAGAGCATTTGTAAACTAGAATGATGAATTTGTCTGCAAAGAAGAAAATTCTAAAATATGAAACATAAAACTGGATTCTATCATTCAATATATTAACAGTTGCACCTGAAATGTGTGTTATGTGAATGTTTTAAAACATGTTTTTTATTATCTAATCCTAAAGGCAATAAAAATGTTGAGTAAGGATGGAATTGAAAACAGAATCCGGAAATGACCTCGTTCCAAACTGGCATAAAACACTAATAGGGCCCTCCCTGGTGGCTCAGTAGGTTAAAGCACAGCACTGTGAGCCCTATCCACAGCCACTGCAGCAAGAGTTCAATCCCTGGCCATGGAGTTAACCCACATGGTGGGGCAGACCTCTCATGTATTGCCTGGTGCTCCTCAGCAGTGTATTTCAGTCAGTCTGTCTGTTCTGCTCCCCACTCTGTCTCTGGTGAATCCTTTTACCCCCTGTAGCTCTGGCCTGTACTCCAGTTCTTGTATGCATAAATAAATTAAAAAAAAAAAAACACTAATATTCCTCTGGGTGTTTACATTGCCAGATGCTCCTAGGATAGATCCCATGCTTTTGTCATGTTCTTATCCTGTGGGAACCTTGAATTTTAATGACCCAATCTGGCTAGTCATTTTGCTTTGGTTTCTAGGAAGACCAACTCCAAATTTGCAATCTGAGTCCAAAAATTGATGTGTATTCCTGAATTCATCTGACCATGCTCTGCAATTTTCCCTTAATCCTGATTTTTAAAATTTTTTCACCCTTTTTGGAATGTAAAGTTTTGTACACATGAAATATATATTAGTAGCTGCTGTGATGATGAGCTATTAGACTCCCTTCTGGCAGGGAGGACTTTATTCCCCCAGTGTGGACCTCTTTGGGAATTGCCTCCACGGAAGAGAAGCACCAAGCTCAAAGGTTCATTCCCTTCCCAGGGCCACCTACTTCTAATGACTAATCCGTGTGTTGTGCATGGGTGACCTTGAAAGTATTTCAGTGGATCAGAGGGCTGGGTCCAATCTGTAAGGAGTAGGCTGAGGAGACGACATCAATTGAGGAACTTAGAAATTAAAAGGGAGCATAAACAAACATCCATTATCACAAAAGTTTACAGTGTACTGGGTACAACTGTTAGTGGGATGATGCAAATTAGTCTGATTTCCCTATCCTCAGTAGATTATGAGACAAAGCCAGTAGCTAAGAGCAGAGGAAAAGAGAATTTAGGAGGCCTAAAAAGTGGGACAAAATAATGACAGAAACTGAACATACTAGAGAAGACTACTAGGACTGATGAGTGGTAATTGCCTACCAGATATTTTGGACATAATTTAAAGAACCATCAATCAAATTGTTATAGTTTTAATTCTTGATGTTTGACTGCAGGAAAGAAAGAGTAAATGGTTAGCTGGGTTTGATGGTGGCTGAGATTTTCATAAACAAGTGGATGGAGAAAGCAGGAGGAATGTAAAAAGATTTGCAAAGTAGTGATTTTTAAAGTTCTTTTTTAAAGGTTTATTTATTCATACAGGAGTTGGGGTGTAGGCCAGAGGTATGGTTGGGGGGGAGGGTAAGAGGTTTCACCAGAGACAGTGGGGAATAGAACAGGCAGCTCTACTGAAATACACTGATGAGGGGAGCAGTGGATGAGACAGGAGAGGTCTGCTGCACCATGTGGGTCAGCTCCCTGGCCAGGGATCGAACTTGTTCTGCAGTGGCCATGGACAGTTTCATAGTGCTGAGATTTAAACCCCTGTGCCACCATGGAGACCCTGATTAATCCTATATTTTGATATCCATAGACTTAAATCCCCCTCTTCGATGTTCTTTCTAGCTTTTCTGGCTGTTGTCGACATATTTATGACATGTAGTCTTCCTATCCAAGAATTGTTTTAAAGCCTTTTATTTCTGCCAGTCTTCTTTAAAGGTATTTTATTGTGTTTTACTTTTCTTAATTTAGGTTTTAAACTTTCTTGGAAAGTTTATTCCTACCTATGCAAAGAAGTGATGAAAATGATGACCGGACCCATGCATGGGAGCTATACTGGATTCAGAGGGACA